ATATCTGGGCCCCTTATGGATTGGTGAATTATCTTGCTGATAGGAACCTCGAGCACGAGTTCCCGTATAGACCCGAAAATAATGGACGCGCCATTAGTGTATAGGACCTAGAGGTACTATGTTCGGAGAGAAGCTTGATCGGCTTCCTTCTTGGCCTCATGCATTACCTTTGCTCTAAAGTCTACGACGAAGTCGTCGAGCACTTGCGCCTTTATCGCTCTGCGAGGGTGATAAGTGATGCCGTTCACACATAATTCAATGGCCCACTTGGCCCAGCCTCCTCGACTGCTCGAGTTTGTGCAATATGCTTCGTTAAGGGAAAGTGTTGACGACCGATATCAGGTAGAGCTTTCGTGAAGCTACGACCAGGGCCAGGGCCAGTTTCTCGAGGTGTAGGTACCTCGTCTTGGTGTTGACTTGTGTTTTACTGATATAATAAATAGGATATTGCATACCTTTGTTTTCTCAAACAAGGACCACACTTACTGCTAATTCTAAGATGGTAAGGTAAATGAGGAGGCGCTCCCCAAGCTCGGGCTTGGAGAGCAATGGTAGTGACGACAAGTACTCCTTCAGTTCTTGTAGCGCTTGTACACACTCGGGTGTCCACTCGAGGCCTTTGTCCTTTTTTAGTACGTTGAAAAACCTGTGACACCTATCAGAAGACCGCGAGATGAATCTGGATAGGGTGGCAATTTGACCAGTCAGCCTCTGGACTTTCTTCTTAGTGGTTAATTCTTCTTGTATCCCGTCGATAGCTTTAATCCCTTGCTGTGATACCAAGAAACCTAAAAATTTCCCTAAGGCTACACCAAATGCGTATTTCTCGGGATTTGGTTTCATTTCGTACTTTCTTATTATATCGAAGGCTTCCCTTAGGTGGTCTATATGATCCTCCACCTTTACGGACTTAACCATCATGTCGTCGATATACACCTCCATAGTTTTGCCGAGTAGGTCTTTGAACATCTTCGTGACCAACCTTTTCTATGTAGCCCCGCGTTTTTAATACTAATGGCATGACTTTATAACAATACCATCCCCTGTGTGTGATGAACGTAGTTTTCTCTTGATCTTCTTCCTCCATGAGTATTTGGTTGCTACTTAAGTAGGCGTCCAGGAAACTTAATAGCTTGTGACATGCTGTTGCGTCAACGAGTTGCTCGATCTATGGCAGCGGGAATGAATCTTTTGGTCATGCTTTGTTTAGGTCTGTGAAGTCCAAGCACGTCCTCCATTTCCCATTTTTCTTGTTAACCACCACTAAATTGGTAATCCATTTGGGGCACTTTACTTCCCTGATAGTTCCATTTGCCAATAACTTTTCTACTTCTTCGTGGATGACCTCATTGGTGGTGGGGTTGAACTTTCGTCAGACCTGCTTACCGAGGTGTAGAAGGGGTTGACATTCAGCTTGTGCGTGGGGATTTCTTCGAGGATGCCTGGCATATCTTCATGACTAAAGGCAAATAAATCTGTGTTGGTTACCTCGGAATTTGCAACCGATATAGGCCTTTTTTGCTGAGGTTGTTATGATCTAGATGGACATGGTCGAGGTCTTATATGGTTGATCCTGTAGCTTCGACCATCTCTGGGTCCATAGTGGCTTCTTTGGTTTTGTTTTGTGGCGACGTCGACCCTGTTGATTGCTATGCCTCTTTTTCCTTATTTTTATTTTGGTGAGTTCTCGTGATATCCATGGCAATTCGATAGCATTACTAGGACGTACATTGTTGCCTTCGAATGCTGAATATTCCCCAAGATGTTGTCAATTTGATCACTTGGTATAAGCAGGAGTGGACAACTCTCATAGGGAATGTTGTCTCTAGAGTTACCCCACTGGCGAGGACAAGGAGCGTAATTTCTCCCGAAGTTTGTTCAACTTCATTATTAAAACCGGTTAGTGTAATCAAGCACGACACTATCTCATCCTCGAGTCTCATCTGCATAAGGACTCGGGGATGGATGATGCACGAGTTGCTTCCGTCATACACCATAATTCTCATCACACCAGTATCTAAAATTCATAGAGTTATTACAAGTGCAACATCGTGAGGGAAAGTCAAACCGTCGGCATTTGACTCACCGAAGATGATAGTTACTCCGAGTCCATCAAACCGTTTTTTTGGTGATCGATCTATTGAGCTTTTGGGTGGCGGTGACTTTGATGCCATTGATAGAGGCATTGTCACTGCCACCAACAGTCAAGTTGATGGTGCGAGCTGGTGAAGGCGGCTTTCGTGGGCCAGGATGTTCTCGACCCCTCACTAAGGTGTTCCTGCCTTTGTTGCTAAGTAAATCTTCGAGATGCCCTTCTTGCAGCAAGTTTGCTACTTCTAGTCTTAGGGCGATGTAATCTTTTATTTTGTGCCCACGTTCTAGGTGGAATTCATAAAGGGAGGCAGATATCCTGGTGCTTGGGTCGGATCTCATCTTTGGTGGCCATTTTACCTTTGTCCCGAGCTTCTTAAGAGTGTAGACTAGGGTCGAAAGAGACACACAGAAGTTGTGAGCAGATAGTAAGGGTGGCATACCTCGATCATTCCTGTTTGTGCCTGATCTCAGCCTAGATGGGCCGTCTTAATAACGAAAGGAGGGGACAAGTGTCCTCACATAGGGCTGGTGTCGTTCCCTGCCTAGCCGCGGTACAGGATGATCCTTCCTTGTATTATCTCCGCTCTCTTTCTTGGGCTCGGTTTTTAATGAGGTGATTCACTGAGTTGGTCTATTGAGGTTGTCGTCGCCTGCTCTGACCTTGGCACAATAGGCATAATGGATTTTGTCCCAAGTCATCGGTGGGTACTTCATTAATCGACTCAGTTATTTTTTGGTCGCCCTCAATCCTTCTCTGATCATCCCATTCTGAAAGGCTGCTACTTCCAGCCTTTCGGAGACATTTGGTAAGGTCATCCTCACCCTGTTGAATCGGGTGAGGATGTCCCTCAATCCTTTTCCTGGGGATTGTTTGATGGCGAAGATGTCGTTCACCCTTGTTTCAACTTTCTTGGCCCCGGCATGTGCCGTTACAAACTTATCGTCCATCTCTTTGAATGTTTCTATAGAATAAGCTGGCAGTTGTGAGTACCACGTCAAAGCCCCTCCAGTGAGAGTCTCTCCGAACTTTTTCAGCAAAATAGAGGACACCCGCTCTTTAGTGAGGTCGTTGTCTTTCACAGCGGTAACTTAGTGGATTACATGGTCTTTGGGATCGGCTGTCCTGTCGTAAATTTTGAGATATGGGGGCATCTTGAAGGTCTTTGGTATGGCGTATGGAGTCGCTTCTTCCCTTTACGGGTGTTCCACAAACCTGTCGGCGTCCCTTTTTGGTAATAATTTGGGGGCACCTGGTATTTCGTCTCCCCATTCCTTGTGCTCTTTCATTTGGTCCTTGAGCGCCCTATTCTTGTTTTCCGTTTCTTCCATTCTTTTCAGCATGGCGGCGAGGACACTGTCACCTGCACTCTCAGTAATAGTGTGAGTTTTACCTGAAGTCGGAGGGCTTGGTTGGTCTTCCGGTTCGTTCACGCATGGTTCTGTATGGACTCTCATGGTTTTTGTGGTCGTGCATGGGGCTTTCTTACTGAGCACACTGGCCAGTATAATAGTTATCCATGCTTCAAGGAGCTTTTTATAGCGGTGGTTCCCCCTCTCGTGTGGACGAGGAGGCCCCTTTCCCATTTGGTTTTGTTGTGTTGCAGAAAGGTGGAGGCGACCTTTCTCGTCTGGGAAAGACCGTGGGCGTTACCTCCTCCTCATTGATTTTATAACCTTCGTTGATGGCACTCATAAGGTTGAGGAGAACATTATCTATCGCCTTACTTATGAATCCTAGGTTACCCGCCACGGAGGTTTTTCTCCGCCCAGAAAAAAAGATAATTTTTGCGGTTCGTCAGATTAACAAGTCATGCGAGTTATGGATCTAATGGAAACTAAAAAGTTGGCTGAGAAAATTCCCACAGACCGCTCTAAGTTGTATGACTTAAATTGAAATGTACGTTTATATAATCGAATTTTATAATAAAGTTAGAATAATCTTAGCCAATATTAATATCCAAAAGATACACCAAATAATTTTGTAGTAAGGTCTGACGTGTGCTATATGAGCAGCAATAAATAACAACAATAATGCTATAATCAATGATCCAAGAATATGGAAGATAACAAAATAAACAGCAATAAATGACATTTCAGTAAATAAATAGATATGGGTCACCTGAAAAGGGTGAGATTCATTAATATTCCTTCTGAGAAAGATAGATGATGATAAGCCTTTATATATTTGGATCCTCCTTGGATCGTGGGAGATAAGATAGACAAAGATCTAAGAAAAAGGTGGACATTGTACGTGTATGATAAAGTAAGATTCTTCAGACAATGTCACTGTGTTGTTCTTTACAATGAATGTTCAATCCCCACTACACTTACATATCTTTCTATTTATAAGAGTACATGGGCCACAATAGCCTAAATAGTACAGCTGGGAGGAATATTCATTGGGATATTCTCTGGGGATCTTATTTCTAAAACTAACTACTATGTTACTAAAGGCAGTGCTCGTCCTCGTCTTCTATTGAGTCATCTCGATCTCGACGATGACATGTTGTTCTCTCATGATATCAACCTTTTAAAGCAAAATCATTATACTTTGTTGAAAATACGTGGCAGCATTCGAAGACTTTCTTAATGTCGGCTTGGTCCACATACGATTATGATAATTTTCGCCCATACAAGAACGTCATTGTTGTAGAGTAACTGCAGTTTTTACAAATGAACCACCGGTCCATGGCGACAGATATAAAGATATCGATCACGCCCCACTAGTTATTAAGATCTGTTTGCATATCCGTAGTTGCTTGTTTTTATGGGATGTCGTCAATGTGAATATTCTTTTTTTTCTTTTAATTAATAATTTAACCACCTTAATCCTTAAGTGATGATTAATAGAGAGAGAGAGATGGAAAAAAAATTTGCATAGAAAGAGTACATATAGCTTCTATTACCACTAATCCACTATACTTCATATTTATTGAACAAGTAGCAGGAAATAGAAGTTGTCTGATCCCCATTTTCTAGTTGGCTTTGTTTACTAAAAAGGCCAAATAGTGCTAGACGTGAGACATATATAGGTGCTAATTAGTTATAACATCTCTCAAAAAATCAGATGTTTCGACATCCCAAAGTTCACCAAACCAGAATGAACTCATATTGAACTGGTCGATTGAGTCAAAGCTGGAATAATATTCGGAAATGTCATGAGAGCACTCAAACTGATCATGAAGTTGTTGGCCGTTGGAATTATAAGTACCATCATCTGGGTTGCTCTCCAATATAACTGGCCTAATTTCCATCTCAATATTTTGTTGGTCGACAATGTTGTACCAATCTTGGTACGTTTGAGATGAGTTCATAGTAACATCCATCATTTGATTTACTTCAAATGTAATAATACTGTTGCTGTCTGATGAAGAAACAACAGGTGATCCTTTGTCGGCATTTGTCCTCTCATTTCCTTTGGTTTTCTTCACTGCCCTTTTATTGCTTCTTGCTTTAGTCTTCGATGGGGCATCATTTTTCACTCCCAAATGCTTCTTTAAGTGTGTGTGGAAGTAGTTCTTAACTTCGTTATCAGTTCTTCCTGGCAATCTTGCAGCAATTTCTGACCATCTAGAGATAATACCCAAGGAGTACTTCTATTACATATTCTTTTCCGTTAATTAAAATTTCAAATCTTTCAACAAACAAAAAAAGAACTCAAAATTAGAACTTCTAAGTCTCACCTATTCCCAACTTCCTGATAGGTTTTGATGATTGTTTCTCTTTCTTCAATGCTAAAAGGTCCTCTCTTAACATCAGGGCGGAGATAGTTTATCCATCTTAATCTACAACTTTTCCCTGTTCTTGAAAGACCTGTAATTATGTACAATCCAAGTTCACGAGATTAATTAAATAACTACAACATGATATTAATGAACTTACACAAGAATTACTTAGGGTTACAAGTAGTTTAATGCATGCGTAGAAATCAAAAAATGAATTATCAGAATTAACATATTGTATCCATATTGGAAATTATTTTAAATGAATCAAACCAGCAAATCTGGGCATATGGCTCCAATTCCAAATGCCACATCTCATGATATAAGATTTCAGTTTTTGGTCTTCCTCCGGAGACCACGCTCCCTTCTTTATCTCCTCCATGTTTGTACTTTTCTGCTGTTGTTGTGGTGGTACTCTTGGCATGATTGTTGAGAAGTTCAAGTGATCACCTGCTTCTTTACTATTTGTATGGTTTTTAGCTAGCCTTGCTTTGTAAACCTGAATTTATATAGGGATATATTTCCCACTCACTGTATAATAAAATTAGCCTTCTTTCCAAGAAAGCTATAGGGACTCGCTGCACTACATTGGTTATAAGTATTTTGTCCCCTAGTGCTTTTCGTCTTATTCCTTTTTAGGTTTAATTTTATACTCCCTCCGTTTCATATTAAATGAGGTACTTCTCTTCCAAAACAAATGACACATTTCTAAATTTGGAAATAATTCAACTTTAAACTCTTTCATTTTACCCATTTACCCTTAATGAGAAGTTCTTATAGCCACACAAATGTCATGACCCCACAAACTTTTTACCCCTTAACACTACTAGAATTCCGGAAAAAAGCGACCAAACTTTAGCGACCAAAGTTGGTCTGTCGCGAAAAGCGACCAACTTTGGTCGCTAAACTAGCGAAAATAATAAAATAAATAGTTGAAACAAATTAGTGACCAAGGTTTGTCGCCACATGGTCGCTAAATTAGTCAAAATGTTGACTGGACTGGTCAGACTTGCTTGGTAAAAGGTTTACTAAGATTAGCGACCACTGTTGGTCGCTAAAGTGGGACCCACCTACAAAATTTTAATAAATATATTATTATTTTTAAAAAATTATAAAATTTAAATATATATTATTTAAAATTTGCGACCAACGTTGGTCGCTACTTAAAGGGTAGGCAGATAGCGACCAACTTTGGTCGCTAAAGTGGGACTCTGTTATAAAATTTTAATAATTGTATTATTAATTTAAATATTATATAAAATATAAATAAATCTGATTTAAATTTAGCGGCCAACTCTGGTCGCTAAATTAAACTCATTTATAGTTAGCGACCAAAGTTGGTCTCTATTCAGGTCAACAATGGTCAAAATTAAAAAAACACTTTTGTATTTACTATCTAAATAATATAAATGTAAGCCGTTAATACTTTTGTAATACAAGGGATGAATAGTACTACGAAGCGTGCGTGTGTGTCTATATATATGTGTGTGTGTGTATATATATATATACACACACACACACTTACACTATACTATGCACTAAGTATAAGTGTATTAGGTAATATTATATCGAATATAGCTTATATATATATAATACATATACTTACTATATATATATATATATATATATATATATATATATATATATATATATATATATATATATATATATATAAAATATATATACTTACGCTATACTATGCACTAAGTATATGTGCATTAGCTAATATTATATCGAATATAGCTTATATATATAATATATATATACTTACCCTATACTATGCACTAAGTATAAGTGTATTAGGTAATATTATATCGAATATAGCTTATATATATATAATATATATACTTGCGCTATACTATGCACTAAGTATAAGTGTATTAGCTAATATTATTGTGACGACCCGACCCGTCGTCTCATGAGTTACCGCCCCGTTTCCCCCATTTTATGCTTCTTCATATTTCATTATCAGTATTTGGTGTGTTATAGTTGATTCGGATTGGTTTTGGTAGAAATGAGGCACTTAGTCTCTTTAAGGAAGGCTTATTTTGGAAAAGTCAACCAGATGTTGACTTATGAGTTAGAGGGCTCGGATGTGGTTTCCGGTGATTTGGTTAGCTTCGGGGGATGATTTGTGACGTAGGAGTGCGATCGGAATTGATTTTGGAGGTCCGGTGTAGAATTAGGCTTGAGTTGGCGAAGTTAGTATTTTGGCGAATTCCGGTTGGTGGGTGAAATTTTGATCCGAGGGTCGGAATGGGATTCCGAGAGTTACAGTAACTTCGTTAGGTGATTTTGGATGTGTGTGCAAAATTTCAGGTCATTCGGAGGTGTTTTGGTCGGGTTTTTGACCAAATGCGTATTTCGGAAGTTTTGAAGAAACTTAGGCTTGAATCCGATGTGATCTAATGATTTTAGCGTTGTTTGACGTGTTTTGATGATTGGAACAAGTTTGAATGATGTTATAGGATGTATTGGTGCTGCTGGTTGAGGTCCCGGGGACCTCGGTGAGTTTCGGGTGGTCAATCCGACCCTTTTCCATGTTGAGATGTCGCAGAAATTGACCATCAGCTGTTGCAGAAGAATTTGCCTTCGCGATCGCGTTTGGTGTCTCGCGTTCGCGGAGGGCCTTGACCCTGTGCTTCGCGTTCGCAGTGAGGGTGTCGCGTTCGCGAATAAGGATTTGGAGCCCAGTGGAGTTTGTTCTACGCGTTCGCGTGTGAGGTAGCGCGTTCGCGTAAATATGAGGCCTAAACTATCGCGTTCGCTGGATTGAGTCGCGTTCGCGTAGAGTGTTTTCGAGCTTTTAAATTTTTGCACTTCGCTTTCGCGAGGTAGTGGTCGCGAACGCGATGAAGGATTTTCCAGGTCTGGGCAGAAAGTTTATAAACATTTCATCCGCGATTTTTTTAGCCATTTTTCCCTCATGGTTGATCATTTTGAGAGCTTCTTGGTGGAGATTAAAGAGGGATTCAAGGGGAATCGATTGGAGGTAAGATTTTTGAACTTAAAACTCATTTTTATTGTGAAATCCACCTAGAGATTCATGAAAATTAAGCCAAAAGTGGAAGAACTAGGGCTTGAGTTTTGGGATTTTTAAATTGGAAATTGAAGGGCCAAATGAGGTCGGATTTGGGAGTTCTTGGTATGTATGAACTCGTGGCGAGACGAGGAATCCATTGATGTGAATTTTGTAATTTTTCAAGAAGTGGGCCCGGGGCTCGGGTTTTGCTAGTTTCGAGATTTTTGCTATTTTTCGATTGTTTTCGATTGGCTATTATTCCCTTAGCATATTGTGATGTATTCGCTCTGATTTTGGATAGATTCGACACGCGTGGAGGCCGATTTGAGGGGCAAAGGCGTCGCGAGCTAGAGATTTCACCGGTTTGAGGTGAGTAATGATTGTAAATGATATCCTGAGGGTTTGAAACCCCGGATTTGCACACCGTAGTGCTATATTGAGGTGACTTACACGCCGGATAGCGGGCGTGGGGTAGAGCATCGTTGGGGATTGTGACTTGGTCCGTCCCGGTTGTTGATTTTATCGCGTAATTGACTTGAACTTATTTGATATTTCATGATTTGGGTTGATTGCCGTATTTGGGCTTCGTGCCAATTATTTGAATCCTTCAGGGATTGATATCACCGTTTTCGCATTATTTTTGCATAGTATTTGATCTCGGTCCAAGGTTTTAAATACTGTTTCGCAAACTCAGCCGTCTTTCTAAGATTTGAAAACTTAAACTATAATTTATTGACGTTTTGAGCTGAGAACTATTATTTTAACATTGCCCAAGAGGCTTATGTGCATTTCTGGACTAAGCATGAATCGGGCTACGAGCCGCAGCAGTGTTATATGTGCATTTCTGGACTGAGCATGGATCGGGCTGCATGCCGCAGCAGTGTTATATTGATTTTGAGGCCGAGGGCTTGGTTGATTCCACGAGATGGCTTGATATTGCGCTTGGGCTGTAGGAGCCCCTCCGGAGTCTGTACACACCCCCAGTGAGCGCCGTCGACGTTAAATATATGAATGGCTCGGGCTGCAAGCCGCAATGGGTACCTGAGTGTACCGGCATATGCATTGCACTCATGCATTTGTTCCCATTTGTATTATCTGTCATGACATTTCAGCACTCTCATTTCATTGGCTTCCATGCTATTTCTCCATTGCTTATCTGATACCCTGGTGTTATTCGTTAATGGAGTGATGTGCCCGAGGGGCTGACTTTTGTGCTGACTTGCACTATCTATTTTCGCATTCATTTGCTTAACTGTTGGTAAAAGATATTTTCAAAAGAGGTTTTAAACTGAGCCCAGATATTTCAAAAGATTTCACGGTTTCACTATTTTCTCAAAGGGTTACACTGTTCTATATAGCATGATGGCTTGCTTACGTGGTTTCTTGCTGCTCAGTTATTATTTACCTTTATTACTCACTGAGTTGGAGTACTCACTTTACTCCCTGCACCTCGTGTGCAGATGCAGGTATTTGATCGCCGGAAGTGGATTTGAGGATCTTAGAGATTTTGTTATCGTAGCTGAGTCAGGTGACCGCCAGCGTTCGCGGCACTGGATTGTTTCCTTTTGATTCTAATTTCTATTCTACATATTACATGCCTTGTAGTTGTATTAAAATCCTTCTAGATGCTCGTGACTTGTGACACCCCGGTTTGGGCTGTGTTGGGTCGTAAATTTCGTTAATTAATATCATTAAGTCGTATTTTTGCTGTTCATTTGTGTTTAACTACTTTGAAAGAGACGAGTTGGGTTAGTTGGCTGGCCTCGTCTTCACGAGAGGCGCCATCATGACCAGTGCGGGGTTTTGGGTTGTGACAAGTTGGTATCAGAGCCTAGGTTACTAGGTCTCACGAGTCATGAGCAGGTTTAGTAGAGTCTCGCGGATCAGTACGGAGACGTCTGTATTTATCCTCGAGAGGCTGCAGAACCTTTAGGAAAACTTCACTTCCTTGGAATTCTTATCGTGCGTACTTGATTCAGCTTGAGATATGACTCTTGAAATTTCTTCCACACGTCTGTATGCGCACGTGAGCGCTCAGCGTCAGATGTGCCTTGATGTCTTGTGATTCCCCGATCAAAGGGCGAGATGTAATTTCCGTGAGTTTGATGTTGGGCCAGTCTGGAGGACTTGAGGCCGGATCTTTGCCATGGCTTGAGCACCGAGGTGCTGATTGTGTGAGCAAGTGTTTTGAACTTATATGTTCGGTATTGTCCCTATTAGCCGTAATAGCGGTTGGATATCTATGTGATGATTATGTAGTACTGCGAGATGTATCTATATGACTTGGTAGTGACAAGAAGCCTGCTGGTAATAGATGGACTGTTAAGTGTTCGATTCCTATGGTGATTTGATGTGTAGCCCCGAGTTATGGGCGTGTGGAGAACATTTTCGTGTCTCCTAGTTGGGAGTGAAGTGCATTACATGT